CACACACACACACACACACACACACACACACACACACACACACACACTCCTTTTCCCACCCCCAGTAAGCAGCTAGAGGGGGAGTGAGGGAGACCTCTTGTGATCAGGCTGTCATTTCCTCTGGTTGGCTCTGTTATTCCAGATAGCCTTTGTGAAGGAGCCAAGTGGTCCAGCCACAGACAGAAGGTGGGCTCCTAGCATGCATCTGGGGTTGTCAGCCCGGCAGGGGAGGGAGGTGCTGGTGGCGGGCCAAGACGAGGAGAAAAACAAACATGGTGCTGAAACCAGACAGCTACAACAAATCCCTGCTGATGAAACAAGACTTTAAATCAGATCTGATGTCACTGCAGAATTTAGAACAAAAAAAGGAGGATTTAACATTTATTTTTGCTTTAAACTAAACCTTCAACCCAAAACATCTTCCCTCTTTCACTCAGAGCCTCACTGAACAGGAGGCTGGATGGATGGGCAATTTAAAATAATGTCATGCCAAAAGAGATAGTTGCCTCTGAACCATCATAAAAAAATGAAAATGCCAAAAAACATGCTTGTATAGTTTTAGTTGTGTGGGTTATAGTCTAACTTGGAAGATCTTCTGATAGTTATTTTACCTCCAGTTGCCATGTGGACAGAAAGTTGGAGTATTGCGCCACCTATAGGGACAAAGTCCCTAAAATAAGTGGTTACGAAAGAAGTCTTCAAGGGCACCCTTCAAGTGGTCACCTAAGAATATGGGGAATGGTCTAATGAAACTAGTTCACTGTTTCCTATTTACTAGAAGTTAGACAGTGACGAAAATGTAAAAGAATAACTGCACTAAATCACAAGTTTGTATAATATCACAGTATTTATTGTACTCTATTCCTTTAAAATGATGTTAAAAGGAAAGTGCCATTGCTACAAAAATGTTTTAAGTGAGATACTTGATATAGTTATTAAAAAACTAAAACAAATCCTATTTTGAAAACCAGACCAAAATGTTTGTGTGTTGTGTTTGTGTCCCAATATGAATATATATATATATATATATATATATGAGAATAATAAATAATGATCTACTGACACTTCACTGGACGTTTGTCAATCCCTTTCAAACTACAGCACTGCTACTCTTCATGGGGTTTAAATGTGTCTCAGATTAATAACAAATGATTGACTTCGGTGTGCTCCACTGCAAAACCAGGTCCCAGAGCGCCCCCCAGTGTTACCGAGACATGACTCCAGCACCGGTCAGAGTGACGTGTTTTGTCCCACAACACCGCTGGTCGGGGCAGGAGACGGACACCTTCTCGGCTTCTACAGTTAGATGTCTAACCAGCATAAAGAAATCATCTCCTGACCTTTGAAGAAGACTGGACTCATCGCAGGAAGCAGAGGGGCCCAACAGTGATGGCCTCGGTTAAAAAAGATGACAGACTGACGAGTTCTCAGAGCTTTATGTGCGTCGGTTTCGCCGGGATTTTCAGTAAAACCGTCACGTCGCCCTTGGAGGTGGTTAAAATCAAGAGTCAGGTGGGCACTTTTCACTGTAAGAGGGGTTTCTGGCAAAGTTTTCTCCTCATCTACCAGAATGAGGGACTTCGTGGGTTTTGGAAAGGAAATCTCGCCTCTTGTCTGCGGTTGTTCCCCTACACCGCAGTTCATCTCACAACATACAGAAAGTAAGTAAAGTCGGATCTACTTTGTTTTGTCGCACGTTGTATCGACCTTAAAGCGTTGCTTGTGGGTGTTTTGCTCAGTGTTTATGCTAAATTAGCGTGTTAGCCTTCTTGGTCAGCTGACGTTGAACTTTTATGTTTATGTGGCGAGCGAGCTGTATAAAAAGAAATGAGTAGAGGACACATAGACGTCAGTAGAATAATGAGTGATCACTGCGTTCGTTTTTAATGGTTTGACACGATGTAATAACGTAAAAGGTTTCGTTTAAAAGATCTGTTTACTTTCATCCGAGCAGCTAAAGATGTACTTCCGGTTTTACCCTACTGAGTCGCACCTTCTCTCTTCAACCAATCAGAAGGCTGTATTTGCTCAGTCGATACTTATAGAGACAGGGGTTGGTTTACCCTGGGTTTTGTCTCAGAGGTCTGTTGTCTTGTTGTCCAACTCCCAACAATCGGAACATGTTTGTAACAATTAGCAGATTTTTTTTAAAATTGGTAACTATTTATGATGAGTTAGCCAAATTGTTGCTCGATTAATAATACATTTGGTCTTTAAAATAAGCCCAATATGTATACTAACTATTTAAGTAATTATTTTAAGCAAAAATACCAAGGATTACCTGGTTCCAGCTTCTGAAATGAAAATTATTTGCAGGCTTTATTTGTCTTCTATGGTTGTAAATTTGCCAGGGAGTAAAACGTTTAGTTCTGGGCTGTTGGTCGGTTGCCTGTGAGTCTATACACAAGGAAATATCATCCGCCAACTTATTCTCTCGGTTAACTACAGGGCAAACATGCCGGTAACATGTCTGACACATGAACATGCAGGGCAGTGAGCAGCGGGAAGTCATAAATATTTACTGACTAGCGAAGCTGCTGCAGTCAGGATGTGGTATGCATCCCCCCCGCCCCCCGCCTCGGGTCACTGGTGCATGTAAACATCTCCGCATCCTGACTTGCAAACCACAGTCCTGTACTGTACACAGTGTTCTAGGAAAACACAGCCATTTCCTCTTTGTCACTCACACACACACACGTGGCCTGAGTTATTTATTTGCTCCTTTATGTAATGTAGGCGACTGAAACGTGAACGTAACAATATATTAGTTTGTTATTACTGAAACAATGTCATGACTCATCTAAAAGTAATTTGCATATATAACGCATAAAGGTGAGAATATGGACATGATGCAGGAACATTGATTTAATTACATTGAACTATAGGCTACAATTTAACATTATTTTAATGACCGCTTATGTGTTTGTTGGTAATGAATTATTATTTTTTTTAAGCAATTAATTACTAATTCAGTCAATAAAATGTCTAAATGGTGATACATTCCCATCACATTTTACCTGAACCCAAAGTGACATCTTAAAATGTCTTGTTCTAATGACAATGAAACACTGACAACAAATGAAGCATCGAAGACCGAATGAGTGCACTTAAGAACCATTCACAGTCTAATCAATGCAATCCATGCAATGAAGTGTCATTCATTTTGACTTCGTCCATCCAGGATCGTCCACCTTCACATGGATGAACTGGGCTCCATCTCTCAGTGGAGAGCCATATTCGCCGGCGGACTGGCTGGCTTTGCTGCTGCCATGATGACGTACCCTCTGGAGGTGGCAGAAACCAGGCTCATCGTTCAGAGCTACAGACAGCCCACCTACGTCGGCGTAGTTCACACCCTCTCAAAGATCTACAGGAATGAAGGGCTGCCTGCTCTCTACAGGGGCTTTTCTCTCACTTTGTTGGGTGTGTTTTGCATATTCACAGCATGTAGATCCAGAATATTTACACTTTATTAAAGGCACTTCTGTTCCTCCAGATGAAGAGTTTTCTTCAGTCTCAACATCATTTGAACACACGTTTCATGAATGATGCGTTCTACTGTAACTTACAGCACATGTCATTCGTCTACAGGTGCATTTCCCTTTTCTATCGGTTGCTATGCAGTTTACATGAACTTGGACAAACTCTGGCAGGAGCCTCCTTTTCGCTTCACTCCCCTCCAGAACTTCATTAATGGCTGTCTCGCAGCGGGAGTCGCCCAAACCCTCTCCTACCCGTTTGAAACTGTAAAGCGGAAGATGCAGGTAATTTACCAGCAGAACACTTCACTTTCTCACTGTAGGTGGTGCTTTTTAGAAGAACTGAAACAGACCCATTTAAAATCAACTACACTAAATAAAGTAATTAAATATTGAATATAAATAGAGGATTAATACATTAATTCACTCTTAGTCAGATAGTCAACTAATGGTAATAAGACTCTCGGTCAACTTAGCATTTTTGCCATGTTTTTTTAAATATTAATTGGCACGATTTCTAGATATCTCTCTTCATGACTATTTGACTCCTTATTGATAATACTGGGAATATTTTTAATAGATCTCTTAATTAAACCAACTAATCCTCTTCAACTGTATTATCTATGACTATGAATAATTATTTTGTTATTCATACCCTAAAATAAATAAATACGTAAATAATATTATATTTAACTGTAAACAAAACAAGTTTACTGTATTTCAGCTCGTGTATTCTGGCTGTATTACCACATTCAGTCCACAAGGGGGCGGTCTGCGTGTACCTATATTAAGTTTAGCCTTTCTTGGTCACTCAATGTTTTCAAACACGGTACATTTAAATTCTTAAATCCAAATATTCTTAGTAGTATGTTTAAAAAAAAAAAAAAAAAAAAAAGTTGAACCTATGACTATTTATAAAGTCAGGACATTTATCATATGTGTTTATAAAAACGCCGTGGTCACAGGAAGACACACTTTCCTCTGAAATGATGCTTGAGATATCTTCTGTATGTTGGGGAGGACACATGGGGAACAATAATACTACATCCGGTTTTATCACCCTATTATTAGCAATCACAAGGTTCACCAGCAGCTGGGAATGCAAATGTGTCCCGGGTCTGCAGAAGCTATAGATACGTTCTCTAAAGATAGCCGGTCACTATCAGACAGCGGGCAAAGTGAGAGTTGTGTATGTCCACTTCACTAAACCATCACAACCACAAAGAGACGCGTTACATAACGATTTAACTGGAGGATTCAGCTCTCGTCTATGTCTCAGAGTTAAACATTAATAAAAAGCAGACAGAGAAGAGATGATAGGAAAACAGCTGAGGATGTTTGCAGAAGATGCGTATTGGTTTACTTACCGATTAGTCTAATGTTTCCTCGACAGAAGAAGCTGTTTGAACAGTCTAATGCCCTTATGGCTGCGTGTCCCCTCGGGAACCTTCAAACTTCTAAAGCAGTGATTGTCGACTGGCGGCACAATATTAACAAATTCAGAAAATATGTTCTGCTATTTAGGATATCCAGCTTTCGTTGCTTCCTGTATAGAAGCAGCTACTAAAACAATTGAGATGGTAATTATTTTATTGGGAATGATTTACCAACACGTTTTATCATAGTTGTTTTTTTAAACACTGATATAAGCTTATAAAAATAATTGTGTAAGAATATGAAAATAGTCAACAATGACCGGGTGATTTGGCTTAAAAAGTGAAAGTCCAACCTCAACAGTGTCTACTTATACGTGTTCTGACCCTTGGAGGAATGAAGGTGATGACCCCTGTTCTAAAAATACATTTCCTCTGTCACACGACAGTCTGTAGAGTTGTTGTCGTGGTTCACACACACGTGAAGCAGTGTGACTGTCTCACACAGTTTGAGTGTGGTGAACTTTAATATACTGCCCTTCATTGCAAAGAATATTATGAAAACGCTGCTGATATACCTGCATATAACTTAATTAACCAATACATCTTCCCCCCAATTTGCAATAAATTCTATGTGTCTTGTCATGATTCTCTTGACCTTTCTGGTTATTACTTTACAGACGCATAATGGCATCTGGGTGATTCACTGCTGTTCATTTTCACTTTCATTCTTTTCTCAGGCGCAGAGTGGCCGTCTTCCCCATTTTGGGGGAGTCGACGTCCATTTCAGTGGAATGATTGACTGTTTCGTGCAGGTTGTAAAAAGTAAGGGCATCCTCTCACTGTGGAATGGCCTCACTGCCAACACAATAAAGGTACCGTTCCTCTCATATATATGATTATTATTTATATCCCAGCCATATTGTACTCTATCAATCATAAGGATCGAGCACTGGTCTACTTCAAACTGAAATAACTCCTCGGGAACATGAGTGACTTTATGATGGAGTTGTCAGCTAATTCCTACGCAAAAGGGAGAGTGAGGATGGGGAGGGGGGGGCATGGAAAGCAATGTTCGGTGTGTAAATCCTAGCGTGAATGTGCACGAGCAAGGTGAGCAAAGTCTCTCTCAAGAACAGCATGCTCCACTCTCCTGTTTCAGCTGCAAATATCATGATAGTTGGATGCTGTTTTACAAATGTGAGGCCTTGTCACGAGCTGCTTTTTTACCATAATGTCACCCTGAATGAAACTGAGTTGAAGACACATTAAGCACACTTTAGGTGATAATCAAATCAAACCACAACCATCTGTGTGGATTTATGGTCCATTTGGTGTTTGGCACCACACTCATCCCTGTGTCCTCCCCCTCTCAGATTGTTCCCTACTTCGGCCTTCTTTTCACCTGCTTCGAGATGTGTAAGCAGGTCTGCCTTTACCGCAACGGCTACATCGTCTCGCCGCTGAGCTACAGACTTGCACCTGGCGTCGACCAGAGCCTCGGGCCGTCCGAGCTGCTGGAGGCGAAGCGCTATCTGAAAAACAGGAGCTTCGGGTCGGGGGAGTCGTCTCTCGGAAACCGCTGGTGAAACTTCACATGAGAAGATGTCTGACTGACGACCACACTTGAACGGCAAAATGAAATACTTCAGAGGCTTACGTCTGTAATAATTCCATAACATTTTAGGCTCCATGTCTTCATAGAAGGTGCTAACATGCATTTACATTATGTCCAGTCAGCAACAGTCTACCTCTTTCAGAAACTTTTTCATTTTATCCGACAGTGTCAGCTGTTTATTAATTGTTCATTTACCCTTCATGTGTCTCCATGACTGTTTTTAACCAAATATTATGTTCCTTAAGCATTAGCTATTTATTTTGGGTCTTATTTCAGTTATTGACATCAAATACTGCCATAATGTAGTTTATCCAATTGAGTTGCAAAAGCTCTGTTACTCTACTTGTGTGATAGATTATCATTTTTAATGTGCAATGAATGTAAAAAATGTTGATACTTCATAAGTTTGAGTAGGTTACGATCAGTCATGTAAATGTGCTAACATGGATTGTGACGGAAGAAATGTTTAAAACATTAAACCTTTCTCACGTTAACATTTGAAGTGTTCTTTTGTATGTTTTTGGATATTTTTTTACAATTTTATTTTTATATCTCTCTCTGGCTTATATATATATTTCTTTATTTCTGACATGCACTTCAGTGAATGACTCCATTTTTTGTCTTATAGTTAAAATGCAGCTCAATGTCTTCACTCTGCTGTTCGTGCAACTTGGTTCCAGTGAATGTCCTTTTGTTTAGTGATAATATATGATAACAGGCAACGCTTCAATCAGTCTGACTGGATAGTTTAGTTATGATTGAGTCAGTCGGTTGTTTCAATCATGTCCTCCTCCACTGTGGGAAACTGAGTGACAGCCAAGGGACATTAACAGATGGGATGACCTTTATCCACCATAGCCTTCAGGCCTCAGCTGCTTCAAACTGACATCTTACTTTGATCCCAATCTCATTCAGAAAACTCAAAAACAACTTAACAGTTCTGCTGATGTGTGATTCAATCACAAAGTCTATACATCTTAAACTTTTTGGTCTTTTTAGAGTTTACTTTAGTGATGAGAGAGAGCGCCAAATCTGAATCAAAGGACATCAGTTAACCCCGCCCATATCCCCCACAGCCGACCAATCGGACACAAGAGTCGAAGTTCACGGTCTCGTGCTCAGTCTTCTTAAATCCCCTCTCTTCTGGATTGGATTCGGCCATTTCAACCCCACCGACGAAGTGACGGGACGGTGTCCGACAACATCTGAAGATGAATGAGACCGCTATTTCCTTCGCCAAGGACTTCTTGGCTGGTGGTATCAGCGCTGCCATCTCCAAAACAGCTGTAGCCCCCATTGAGAGAGTCAAGCTTCTTCTCCAAGTGAGTGTCAACATCTTTATTTCTCATGACACTTTAAATTAGTCGCTGTCAGCTGTGCAACTCAAAACTGGCGTCGTTCATTTGCGGCGTTTTTTTTTTTTTCGTGCGGGATGGAGGGTGAATCTAACCAGATGTAGTGATGTGTTGCGGTAAACGTCATACTGTTGAGAGTAGAAGCTGTGTCGGAGATCGCTGCAGGCGCAGATGGAATGAGCATAATGAGAGAAATGAGCATAAAGCGAGGCGCATCAGACCTGTTGCGTAATGCACCGGCCAGCAAGCTGCTGGCTTACATGCAGTGCGCTTTAAAGGGCATGACATGACCGTATACTGTGATTAAGCGGCTCAAAAGTCCTCTTCCTCCCAATGACAGGCCTTCAGTTTGACTGGACAGCACACAACCAAGGTCACAGCAAGGTTTGCGCCATAGTGGCACTCCGCTGCTGCGCTGGGCCTGAGCTCAGCGCGCAGGAGGGGCTGGGGAATAGTTGAATGGATGCCATCAGAGTTGTACTCTGGCACGTGGATACAAAGGTGTCACGTGGGAGTCATGATGAGACAAGTTAGAGGATCAGGTTAAAGGATCATTCACACTGATGTATAAATGGGGCTATGTGATATTTGATCTGCTAATATCTTTCTTTTTGTTATCGCTAATGAACTGCTGGATCTCTCCTTCGATTACAGGTACAACATGCCAGCAAACAGATCACAGTTGACAAGCAGTACAAGGGCATCATCGACTGCGTCGTCCGTATCCCCAAAGAGCAGGGCTTCTACTCGTTCTGGAGAGGAAATCTGGCCAACGTCATCCGGTACTTCCCCACTCAGGCCCTCAACTTTGCTTTCAAGGACAAGTACAAGAAGGTTTTCCTCGACGGGGTGGACAGGCACAAGCAGTTCTGGAGATACTTTGCAGGTAACCTGGCGTCCGGTGGCGCCGCCGGAGCCACGTCACTCTGTTTCGTCTACCCCCTCGACTTCGCCAGAACACGTCTGGCTGCTGATGTCGGCAAAACCGGACAGGGCCGTGAGTTCAAAGGCCTGGCAGACTGCTTGATGAAGATCTCCAAGTCTGATGGCATCAAGGGTCTGTACCAGGGCTTCAGCGTGTCGGTACAGGGCATCATCATCTACAGAGCGGCTTACTTTGGCATCTACGACACAGCGAAGGGTAAGTTTTCATCAAAAAGTTTCGCAAAGCTTGATGTATATGTCAGTGTCTGGCTTTTTGAGACTTCTAGTTACCCTTCCTGACTGACATTTCTCTTACAGGCATGCTCGCAGATCCCAAGAACGCATCCATTTTGGTCAGCTGGATGATCGCTCAGTCGGTGACAGCGGTCGCTGGTCTTGTGTCCTATCCCTTCGACACTGTCCGTCGTCGTATGATGATGCAGTCTGGACGCAAAGGAGGTAATAAGCACAACATAGAAAGTACAACTTTCTGGGGGTTTTTCTGCTGTGTTGGTAGAATAAACGCATGACGTCTTTTGGTGATTCTGTTTTCCCTCTCAGCTGACATCATGTACAGTGGCACCATGGACTGCTGGAAGAAGATCTTACGTGAAGAGGGCTCCAAGGCCTTCTTCAAGGGGGCCTTGTCTAACGTGCTCAGAGGCATGGGAGGCGCCTTCGTGCTTGTCTTGTATGATGAGCTCAAGAAAGTCATCTAAGTTGTCTTTGTATGTCCACTGTTCATGTTGTGATGTTTAACTGTAACATATCTTGTATATTCAGAAGGACTTAAATGCCAAACTATATTTATAGGGACCAACTAGTATTTTCTACTAGTTGTACTGGGGGAATCTGTTATGCGCTCTTCTCTTGGCCCCATGCTTTTTTTTTTTTTCCTTTTGTTGTTTTGTCTCTCACCAGAATGTCATTCCCTGAACAAAGGAACCTTGCCTAAAAATAAATGAATAAACGCAACCTACCAAGTGAATCTCCCGCCTGGCTTTGTGATGTAGTGTCATGTATGAAGGGTACCAGTAGAGACTGAGTGACTGAGCGTCTCAGTTGTGTTGCTTCAGGAAGCCATTTGGCAGCATGCTGTGTGAAATGTAAGCTTAGAGCTGCAGAGGTCTCCCAGGTTGTAGTTGGGGGCGGGCCAAAATCAGCTGAGAAAGTTGACCTGCTGACAATATATCATCCAAGGCATGCTTATGGAAAAAAATGATTTGTCAGAAGTCTTACCTATAGTGCATTTCACATATATTGCTAGTTCAGCAGAATATTTGCACAAGCGACTTCCTGCGGAAAAAGCGACCAGGATTAACTGTCGCGAAGTGGATTAATGCAACCTTCTAAATATACTTTTATCTCCTGCCAAGTCTCTTCCGACTCCAACTGGTGTGACCTGATGACTTTAACCTTGAGCTGTTTGACCGTTCCCCAGCGTGACACACCTGTTCCAGTCATATAATATCCTGGTCATGGGATCAATTAAAGTGCACAAAAACTCAATTCTGTCTATGTATTACAGAAAATGGGGCAAAGGGCACCTAGATAGATTTTAGGCTAGTGTTGGTGTGTGTTTTTAGGGATTGCCATACATTGAGTTCGTCCTGATACATGATCTTATCAGCTGTAAAGATGCGGGACATTGTGTACTTCGTGGCGTCTCTATAGCCAAGGTGTGTACTGGTCCTTCAAATGACCCAGGTTGTAATCTTTGTCAGAGTGATCGCTGTCTGAATGTGGTACAGTTGTATCAGCACAACTCTCCACATCGACATCTCAAGCGTCTGCAGCGGTGCACATACCATCTGTAAACGTTGATATCTCACTAACAGACTGTCACTCTGTGACACTTGGCAGCTTTGATCAGTCTTCAGCGATTACAATTCACCAATTACAGAGCTGCTGCCCCCTCGGAGTATTATCTATCCATTTCAGGATTTTAAAAAAAATGAACACGCTGTTTCAATAATGAAGCTATTAGACATACGTATCCAACATTCTTATTAGCAATGACTTGAAAAAAATGGCAGTACAGCCAAGTTTTGTGTCTGCTGCGGACTTTGAACCTCACAGAAATCCTCTGAGTGTTCAGTCACTGCATCTGTAATTACTTTTATTGAATGTGTCTACATAAATGGAGTCTATGGGAATAAGTTATATTGGGGCCTAAAATATTAGACCAGCTGAACTATTATTCACTCTTGCAGTTCATCAAAAGTTTAATTCTGTCTTGTATTTTTTTCGACGTGACTCTTCACTTACTGTATGGATCAAATGAAATGTCCAAAAGGATTGCGACAATACAAATGAATCTTTCTCCCTGTATTTAGTGTGATATTTGATTAGATTTACTCTACCTCAGAAAAAATAACAATTTATTCTGATACAGTGAGATGAATGTGGTCATCCTGTGAACTTCAAAAGCACCCGGGTTTGTAAGTAGTGTGTAGACACAATCACTGTGTCTCGGACACTCAACCCAGACTGATCTTGAATGGAGGACGGTTTAATTTTAGCAACACTATCAGATTACATCATTTACGCAGCTGGACGTTGTCTAATCTCCTTTCAGGGATTCAGAAAGTCTTGGACGTAACCACAAACCCAAGGAAATGAGTTTTAATACTGTTTTGACCACTCAATCCCCAAAAGGCCGTCTCAGCAGGTAGCCTCTTTCTACAGCTGCTCCATTACAACTTTAACAAGGATTAGTGAATCAGAAGCCACAGGGATCACAGCCATTTACACACTGTCTGTCTGTGTGGCTTTAGATACGCCGTGCCTCCTCCAGGTCAAGTCGGGGACACAAGTGTCGTCTTTTCAGTGTGCTTTTATTCTGCTGTTACGCTGCAATGATCTCAAATGTTTGCTTGAATAATATTTCTCAGTATTTAGAGGCAATAACTCCTTAAATCATGTTGTGTTTATGCATTGTTTTGAGTGTCTGCGAGATCTCCCTTCAAAACATGTGTAGACCAAGACAAAAAGTGTGACACACAGTACTGATTTTAAAAGGGCACACTCGCCTCAAAGATTGAGGTCAAGGAGAGTTTAATTTCCAAATTAACATGGTGAAAAACATTCACATTAATAAAGCCATTAAAGTAAACGTGTAAGCTTGAGTTTCACTGATGCAGATACTGATATCGGTCCAATACTGACTCAAATAAATGGATCGGGTATCGTGACAATAGGCCAATTTGGTGTCGGACATTTTAATAAATAACAATTCAGTGGGCTACATATATGTATCTAGTTGTGTTACATTTTCCTTAACAAAGTTAGGAAAGCAATGTTCATCATCTTAATGTTTTTAAAAAATCATAAAATCATTTTTATTTTATATGCAAAATCTTAATTGAACAATAACTGTCAAAACAATCAAGTAAAAGGAAGAGTATTTCCCTCTAAATATGAAATAACAAGTAAAGTAGAAGTATATTGTACATAAGTAGGGTAGTCGTACTTGATTAAAATAACTTATCACATAGTCAACCACTTACAAGGGGCTTCATAGTCAGTGTGTGTATCCACGTGGAGGTCTATGGATCAGTGGAGCTTCAGCCCTACACATTAAAAGCCTTCTGTCAAGCAGATTGTTGCGTAATTTCAGCTGTTGACGGAATTACGTCATAAATCCACCGGGTCATGACATCAGTGATTTCCACTCATGAGGAATAAACACAGTTAGATGACTTATCTGTGCAGTTTAAAGGCAGTAGGATTTTTGAATGTCAGGCAGTAACATGAGGCCTTTTAGTAGCTGAAGTGTCATCGAATTCATTGTAAAAATCAAAAACTGTTTTCTCGGTTCTTCATTCTTGTTTAGTAGAAGAGCAGTGTTAGCGCCACCTTGTGGCATTTGTATTACTATGTTTATCTTAAATCACAATCAGACATCACAGGTAGGTCTTCACATACAATGAATGTGCCTTGGTGTTTTGGTGCATAACATTTAAATATAGTAAGAGAAAAAACACTACTAGAAAAAGTACTAGAAATGTCAAGAATCATAAATAGAAAATAGAAAAAAATACAATAAAAACATGAAAAATATATCTGTTTTTTAAATGAAGCTGTACAACATTTGAAACAAAGAGAATTGAATGTGAAAAAGTTCACATAAACTATAAAGAATATGTGCAATAATAGCTATGAAGTCAAAAACAAAAAACAGACATTTTTGTAGCAATATTGTTTATTTTTTTGTTTTTGTACCCCATTAATCACCTCACAACGAGGTATGTAAACGAGTAAATACTCTTTAACCAGCTACACCAGAGGGATACTTACACACTGTTGAATCAATATAATAATACATGGTGGGTGGATATAGATAGATAGATAGATAGACAGGTAGATAGGTAGGTAGGTAGGTAGGTAGATAGGTAGGTAGGTAGGTAGATAGGTAGGTAGGTAGGTAGGTAGGTAGGTAGGTAGGTAGATAGGTAGGTAGGTAGATAGGTAGGTAGGTAGGTAGATAGGTAGGTAGGTAGATAGATAGATAGGTAGGTAGATAGGTAGGTAGGTAGGTAGGTAGGTAGGTAGGTAGATAGATAGATAGGTAGGTAGGTAGGTAGGTAG